GAGATCATGAATCATGCTTATGTTCTTTTGGTTAAAAATGTTAATGGAATGCAAGCCTAGCTTATTATTGAGGTTTGTTTATGTGTTTATTTATGTTTGGAAATGTTTATTACACTTGTATGCCGCCCTATTCCCGAGGGACAAACCAAGATGGGGGGGGATACAAACAACAAACGAGACACAAACAAGTTAAAAGATAAACAACAGTCGCAACAAATTCTAGTGGGGCTGGGAACTCATCAGCCCCAGGCCTGCCGAAATAGCCAGGTCTTAATAGCTTTGTGGAAAGCCTGAAGGGTGGTGAGGGTCCAGATCTCCACGGGGAGATCATTCTTATTACCACTATACTTGCATTGTTGAATTCCAGAAAGACTAATAGAGAATAATAATAGAGAAATAAAAGAAAAAGAAAAACAGAACATCCCTTTCAAAAGAGATAATGGTAAATCTGGCAATAGTGTATAGAAATTAACTTGTGGTTTAAAAACAATATCTACCATGGTATGTAGGAGACTAACTATTATATGACACAAACCCTATGGTCATATACATGCCATAGTAAATATTATTGCTCATTCTTAACATAGTAGTTCCTAAAGGCTGTAGAATTTTCCTCTTGTTTAAAACTTTGAGATTTAAGGTGTTTTTTTTTTAAAAAAATTAAGTTTCGTTGCTTTTGTTTGTTTTGTTTTGACTTCAATAAGGTGCTTGTGGTTAATTCTCAAGGGGAAATTTCCCGAATGAATACCAAGAAGGAAATAGTAATGAAAGCAGGCATCAGCAATTATTTTAAGCTGGGTCAAGAAGGGAAGTATCGTGTCTACCATAATCAATATGCTACCAATTCTTTTGCTCTGAATAAACATCAACACCGAGAAGACCATGACAAAAGACGTCACCTTTCTCACAAGTTTTGTCTAAGTCCTGCTGGAGAGTTCAAATGGAATGGTTCTGTCCATGGGTCAAAAGTTCTCACAATATCTACATTAAGATTAACAATAATTCAGCTAGAGAATAACATCCCCTCCTCATTCCTCCATCCCAACTGGGCTTCGCACAGGTAAAGACATCTATGATTTTCATAGGTATATTGGGCATAGGAGCATTAAATTATGGGAAACCACACCAGAGTTGAGCTTTTTATTGAACATTTAACACTGGAGAAATAAAGAAAAAACAAAGGACTAAAAATAAGATAAACATAAAAATAATAGGTAGTTGCTTCTGTTGCAAAGAAGAGAACAGATATAGAAAAGACATTGCAAAGTGGGGGGACATTAAGAAGGGATTTGAATGAAAATAACATCAGATTTTATATTTTATCATACTATAGATATACGCCAATAGACCCAGGATTGAGGTTGAAGATAGGGTTAAATTATACCATCACTTCAAGGTTGTTGCTTTTTTTTTTTGCATCAATGTGGCTGTTGCTTGCTATTTTATTGTTTTTGTTTTGCTGTTGAAGATGGCCTAGTGAACACAATCTACTTACTGTGTTTCATATTTTTGTCAAATCACAGATCTAATTGGATCAAAGCTGTCCAGATGTGCAGCAAACCTAGAGAATTTGCATTGGCTCTGGCTATATTGGAATGCGCAATTAAACCAGTTGTTATGCTGCCCATTTGGAGGGAGTCCTTGGGTCACACCAGGTAATATATTTTGAGTGTATATAAAAGCAGTTCCCATAATCTCTCCCAGAGTACTTGGTAATGCTAGGCTAGCTTCATACTTTAAATGCTCTTATGTGTATCTTACAATCAGGTTACGCAGAATGACAGCGATTGAAAGGGAAGAAAAAGAGAAGGCAAAAAAAAAGGAGAGAAAACAAGAGGAAGAAGAAACCATGCAACAAGCAACTTGGGTGAAATATACCTTTCCTATCAAACACCAGGTATTCTACATAACATTATTCTCTCTTTTTAAAAAAACTAACTTATTTTAGCAGATTGCTACACTTTGAGTAAATTAAAAAGCTGTGAATATTAATGGAATGAGATTTGAAATAATTGCAGTAATACAATAAACAAAAAAAGAAGGGACCTGAATGAATTTGGAGTGCTGCTGTAATCATATCTCACTCCATTAGGGATGTAATCTTGCTCATTTGATCACCAAACATATTTGATATTGAATGTGGTTAGAGTTAATTAAGGGAAATTCTTAGATGGACCCTTTTTCTTCTCCCCCAGTGAATTCTGAGTGGAGGTCAATTTCTTAAGGAGTCCAGCTGGGAATGGCAAACCTATATCTCCAAAAGAGTGTGTGTGATCTTTTTCTCTCTTACTCTGGTAAGCATGGTACATAGATGGTTGTTAAACAACTGAGAAGATCACAGAATTAAAATGCACTGACTTTTGACTTAGCACGTGGAAATTCTAACAACCAGAATCTGAGCAAGAGAGAAAAGTAAATTATTGAATAAAATTGCTCCTCTTTTACTTTCAAGAACTTTTTTGCAAAGCTTGTGGAAACAAGTACACTCTGAGTTTTGTGGGAATAGGGAAAAACAGGCAGTTCTGACAGACCGTGCATTCATGTGTGATGAGTAAAAGGATCATATCCCAAACCATTGGTATTTGCAAGGTGTGTGACCAGAGAGCTGATTGTTAACCATTGTGGGTGACTTTTACATCAACAGGTAAAACTCTACCATTATGACCTGAATTTGTGCCTGAGAAGCACTCAGAAGTGCAACCCTAAATTTTAAAAATAGGAAAATGGGTGCAATGAGTCAGCATACCCAGTTGAAAAGAGGGCAAATGTTTCTTAGATCAAAAAAAGGTGACACCACAAGAGTTGACAAAGGATGCAGCTGTTCATAATGAAGTGAATCAAACAAACAAAAAATAAGGCCCAGTGGACAAAATTGACAACCAAAGCTAAAGGTGAAGGGACTTCCTGAGAGGCAAATGATGCATCAATAAAAATATACATTCCAAATGATGTGAAGTAATATTTGTACCGGATACTCAGACACTTTCCTTAACTATTTTATCTAGTCCAGGGAATCAAACAGTAATTTAAAAAAATTCAGGTAAACTGAAGCAAATTCAAAGAAGGACAATAAAAACAATCCAGAATGAAGAAAAATCTTGTGAAGAGAGATGTGAAGAAATTAGAATTTTTCCAGGGTGCTGCTCTGGAGAGTCCAAGCAAGGGTTAAATACAGCCAAACTGCCCAGAACTGAATTGAAATTTTAAGCCACGCCTCTGGTGCTGACCATCTTCAGTTTTTTTCAATTCAGCTAGCCCAGTGGATGCGCTTCGAGTTTCTCTTCAGTTCTACAGATTGCTTGGACTCTCCTAGATTTAAAAGTAGGAAATATTCCTTTAATTGTGTCCATTACGAGCAGGCTTGGTGAGAGAAAAATTCCCTTTCCCTTAATTGGCTATTTGCTCACCTCTTGGTCCTCCTGGGGTCCTGGGCTCGCTCGGGCGTCGTAGGGCTACAGTAGCTGTCTGAGGCACGTGGGTCGGAATGCCGAGGCCAGCACCATCACAACAACTCCGCTGCGATAGGGATCCCCGGTGAAGGCTCTGTTGCCGCCAACTGCACTTTGAAGAAGTTGGCGTTCGGTACGGCTCTTCAGGCTCTTACCTAGTCCCGGTGGCCATTTTAGGCTGCATGACTGGCACGGTGGCCATTTTGAGGAGCCAGAAGTTCCGGCCGCCATTTTGTTTAGCCAGTTTCACTTTCTGAGCACATTGCTGCAGCTGCCTGGTTGCCTGATTCACTGCAGGTCGCCGCATGGAAGCTCTTTGTCTGGTTTTCGCTGACGATTTGACTCCTAGCCTTGCAAAACTATCAGTTTGGTGCGGCATGGGATTGTGGCTCACCTAGGTCGCCTTCCATTACATGACCTGCCAGGTGCTGGGAGCTGTTATCGCTCGCATCAGAATCCTGCTTGGCTGGATCTGATCTCAGTGGCCTTCTGTGTCTCTCTTCTGAGCACTTGGGTCTACAGTCTGCAATGGCAGATCAGATCCCTGAGAATTCAGAGCAGCTTGGGCCCTCTTCCAGAGCATTCTCCAGGCAAGCTGGCAAGGCTGCCTGGGAGGCCATCAAGGGCAGCAAACCCTATTCTAGGCCAGGACCCAAGCAGGGATCAGGCCCAGATAGGGGTGCCGTCCGTCACCAGAAGATTTTAGAGAAGCACTTTTCCAAGGCTCAGCAGCAGGCCCAATCCTCCCAGTTGGTGTCTCTAGTGGAGCCCTCCATGGGGGTTCAGCCAGAACAGGGGCAACCCATTTCCGATAGTGATAAGGAAGGTCAGGAGTTCTCTCCCATTGCCATGGCATCTTCTCCAGGCCCCTCATTGGCTGACCAGGCTAATCTCTTCACCTGCCCATCAGACCTGGAGGAAGGGCCAGTTCCCGTGGATCCCTTAGTGCCCCAACAACCGGCTGTCCAACTCACTCCAGGGGTTCGACCTGTCGAGGACCAGGGCCCTAACCTTTTAGCAGAGATGCAAGATGCCATTACCAGGGCTATATCCCAGGGCATAGAGGCGGGCATGCTGCAGCGGGGCAAGCGCTCGCGTAAGACCCGACATCTCCAAACCCAAGATACCCCTTGTGAGGCGTCCTTGACCCAGCCTTCTCAGTCTCCACATTCCTCCCCGGCCAGCGAGGATTCCGACTGGGAGGAGGAGAACATCCTACGTAGGCCGGAACCTGAGTTTTCAGGGGACAAAGGTGTTGCCTCCGAAAAGCCTGTCTTTTGGGGTTTGTTTAAGCTTGCCAACTTCAAGACTATTTTGAATAAGGCAAAAGTCTCGACCCGCTTGGGGTCTAGCCCTCCAGATCAGGGAACTGCTGAACCAGATGACCTGTCTGGAGATCTCTCTGAGGAGCCTGTGTCGGCCCAAGAGATAGTACCAGTTCTCTTCTCCAAGTGGAAGCTTGTTTTTGCCCCCTTTAAAAGGGACAAGCATTTCAGGGAGGTCCTGGACCCGGTCCTTGTGGAAAACAAGGATAAAAAGAAAGTAATGCCATCAGTCACTAAGAAATCTGACCAGAAGGGTTCCAACTCCTACAGGAGGCAGCCTTTTCGGAACACAGAGCCCTCCACCAGCTCCACTCCCTTCCATCGGCCATACTCACAGCACACTGACAGGTCCCTGGACTGTCAACCATTTCGCGACACAGGTCGCCAGCAGAATTTCTCCAGGCGTCCCTTTCGAGGGGGGTCTGGTTCCTGACCTTTCAAAAGATATAAGTGACCACCACTGGATAGCTCCCATAGGAGGGCGTCTCCAGCTGTTCCACGCCCAATGGGAGCAGATCACATCGGACCAGTGGGTCCTACAGATGATCCACTTGGGTCTGACCTTAGAGTTTCTTTCTCCTCCCCCCATCACTTCATTCGTTGTCCCACTCCCTCGTGTCTCATCAAGAGGTCTCATGGAACAGGAGATCCATCATCTCAGGGACATCAGGGCCATAGAACCGGTTCCACCAGGTCAGGAAGGAGCAGGCTTTTACTCCATTCTTTTCCTGGTCCCCAAAAGCTCTGGGGGATGGAGGGGAATCCTAGATTTTAAAAGGTTAAATTGTCACATAACTTACCGGAGATTCAAGATGCAGTCCCTGCAGTCCATCCTGGGATGCATCAGGCCAGGAGACATCTTGACATCCATAGATCTCAAAGAGCCCTACCTCCACATCCCCATTCGCGAAGCTCACTGCAGGTTCCTGAGATTTGTTTATGCCGGCCACCACTACCAGTACCGGGCCTTGCTTCTCGGCCTGTCATCAGCCCCCAGGATGTTTAAAAAGATCCTTGCAGCTGTGGCAGCCTTCCTCAGATCTCGTCCAGTGCAGCTTCATTGCTACCTAGATGACGTTCTCATCCAGTCATCGCCACAGCAGGCGACTTAAGACCTGAAGTACACCATGAAGGTCCTTCAGGACTACGGCTTCTCCGTAAATTTGGAGAAAAGTCATCTTCAACCAATGACCAGGTTGAGAGCACCTGGGCGCCATCATTGACACCGTCACCTGCCAGGTCTTCCTGTCCCCGGAGCGGGTAGCGAGCCTTAAAGAACGGGTCCTACAGGTGTAGTGATCTCCTCACGCCAAGGTCGTGCAGTTATCGCAACTCCTAGAGAAGATGATATCTTGCCTGTCCATTGTTCCGTGGGCAAGATTCCATTCTCGTCCCTTGCAGTGGTTCCTGCTGCCCTACCAGAGGGCCAACGAAAGCAGCTCGACGAGGTTGGTGTTGGTCTCCCCGAAGGTACGTCAATCCCTCAAGTGGTGGCTGTCTCCCACCCTGGCGAAGGGCACCCCGTTCAGGGAGCCGGCCCGTCTCACCATCACGACGGATGCCAGCCTTTAGGGCTGGGGAACCCACCTCCGCAATCAAATCACACAGGGCAGGTGGTCTTCAGTCGAAGCCTCTCACAGCATCAATTGGCTAGAGCTGAGAACAGGTTGGCCCTCATCCATTTCCGCCACAACGTTCAGGGACATCACAGACAATGTAGTGACAAAAGTGCACATCAACCGCCAGGGGGGCACTCGCTCCAGATCCCTGATGACAGAAGCCGACGCCCTGGGTCAGTGGGCGGAGAAACACCTCCAATCAATACAGGTGGAGCACATCTCCGGAGTAAGCAATATCCAGGCGGACTGGCTAAGCAGGGCCACGGTCGTCCGCTGGTCGACCTGTTTGCCACTCCAGCCAACACGCAGCTTCCCAGATTCTTCACGAGGTTTCACGATCCGAAGGAGTCAACGCCCTGTACTGCCCATGGCCGCAGGGACTGTTGTATATGTTCCCGCCATTGCCTCTCCTTCCCAGAGTCATCCAGAAGATCCTGTCGGAGGAAGTGGAGGTCTTGCTTGTGGCCCCGTTCTGGCCCAGGAGGACCTGGTTTGCCGACTTGGTGAGTCTCTCCATCGACCCTCCTTGGCAGATTCCCCCGCACGAGGTCTCTCTCAGCCAGGGGGCGCTTCAACATCTGGAGCCCCAGTGGCTACAGCTGGCTGTCTGGCACTTGAGAGGGATCTCCTGAGCAGGGGCAGTCTGTCTACCAAGGTCATCCACACCGTCCAGGCGGCCTTTCACGACCCAGATCTATGACGCCACCTGGAGGTCGTTCGACGCCTGGTGCACCTCTCATGACGTACCAGTGACTTCAGCTACGATTCCGATCATCTTGGACTTCTTGCAAGATGGACTTGAGAAAGGCCTGGCGCCAAACACACTACAACATCAGGTGGCCGTGATTTCCACAATACTTGCTCCTGATGAACACTCCTTCCTTGGACGTCATCCTACTATCCCTAGTTTTCTGAGGGGCGCAACCAATCTGAGGCCCCCAGTGGTCCACAGATATCCCTCATGGGACCTCAACGTAGTCCTCCGCGCCTTGATTGTTCCACCATTTGAACCGTTTCGGTCCACCAACCTTAAACATTTGACCTTTAAGACTGCCTTTTTAATTGCCATCACTTCTGCGTGGCGTATCTCAGAGCTAGCAGCCCTATCCGTTCGGGAGGACTTGTGTTTGATACAACAGGACAGGGTGGTCCTCAGGATAAATCCAACGTTCATCCCTAAGATCAACTCCTGGTTCCACTGAGCCCAGGAGATCATTCTCTTGGATTTTTGTCCGCATCCCAGATACCCGAGGGAGAAGCGGTGGCAATGCTCGATGTCCGTAGGACGCTCCGCAAATACGTCAAGCGCACAGCTGTGTTTCGGTGTTACGAATCACTCTTCATTTCTTTCCAACCAGCTTTCCAGGGTCGCAAAGTTTCCTCCTCTACCATCGGATGGTGGTTGAGAGCCTGCATTACCCTCGCTCACGTTCTTCAGTCCAAACCTGTGCCTAGCCACATCACGGCACATTCTACAAGGAGTGGCCGATCGAAGAGATTTGCAGGGCTACTTGGATTTCCTTATCTCTGTTTATTCGGAATTACAAATTGGACAAATTTGCTTCAGCAGAAGGGGCTTTTGGGAGGCGAGTTCTCCAGGGCATTCATACCAGCGGAGAGACCCTGAACGCAACTGCTTCCCGCCCTAGTGACATTTAGCTTGGGTATGTCCCTTGCTTGGACTCTCCAGAGCAGCACCCTGGAAAATGGCCATTGTCTTACCTGAAGGGTTGTTTTCAGGGCGCTGCGAAGGAGAGTCCAACCCCACCCTGGGGTCTTTTTTCGCTGTTTCCCGTGCAGTATTCTGGAGTTTCCATTTGGATACTGTTCTGATGTTAGATGTGGTTCTTAGACTTGTTGAACTTCTCAGTGCGTAACAATTCCATGCCTTCATTGAAAAAATCAAGATGGTCAGCACCAGAGCGTGTCTTAAAGTTTCAATTCAGTTCTGGGCAGATTGGCTGTATTTAACCCTTGCTTGGACTCTCCTTCACAGCGTCCTGAAAACAACCCTTCAGGTAAGACAATGCTCATTTTCTTCTTGAGAAAGAAGAAAGCAGATATGATAGTAGCAGATACCTGAAATAACTTTCTAAAGAACATCAAGATCTGCCCTATATGGATTTCAATCACAGATTCCATTTGAATATTAGAAAATAGTGTCTAAAGAGTATGGGCAGATTGACAGTGGAGCCAGTTATGGAAAAACCGAAAAATAACATAAAGGTAGATAGCTAAATCTCCAGACTTTGTTGTATTTTACCAACACTACCAATATTGAGGAATACTGAAAATTATAATTCAAGAATAGCCAGAAAACCACACATTTTCCTACTCCGTATGAATTCAAAAGAATGAAAATAGTGGAAAAAGTACCCCTCATATTGTTAACAGCCTGCCCGCAATTCCTCTTTTAGATTGACTGGAGTCTGGAGCAGGATCTCCTATCCCAGCAGTATAGTCTATTGATATATACTATATTCTATTGCCTTTCCCTTGGTTTGTATAATTGTAAACTTGCTTTTTTAAACCCAGTGTCCATGTGTATGTGTGATTTGTGACTTCTTAATTAAGACTTGTGGTTAGCCCCTGTAATATACTAGACCCCAGCATGGTGGCATGTTTTTTTTTTAAACCCTCTATATATTGGTTATTAATTTTCCATACCGTATATAATGCTGCTTTTAATGGGTTATTTTTGTTCAGCTTTTATTTTAGTTTAATTCCAGACCTAGGATTTGTAAACTGCTTCAGATTTCTTTGTAATAAATTATTATGCTTTTTTATATCTAATACATAAACTGTATTTATTGCCTTCTTGAATGCAGTTCATATAATACCACAGACACACGTCTCATTTAGTGTCTGTGTTGTGTTCCAGAGACAGAAGATTAAGCAGAATCGTAACTAATCGGACATGTGATAGAGGGAGGGAGACAACAGACAGAAACTATGAAGACCATTGGTTGCTACAGTCTCATTCAGATAAAATTATCTTGTGCAGTATGCCAGGCTTACTCAGGCACGCATTGTTGTCAGGCAGATGAAATTTAATTATGAATGTGTGCATTGGCTGGAAATGAATCTTTAATTACTGTTATATGCTATCATATTTGCAAATGGTTGCTAACCTAGATAATGTAGCTAAACGAGGGATAGATGTAGGGTTACCACTGAAACAGTATTCAGTGCTACAGATCACAGTAATTCAAAAGAGAATATTCTTGGTCAATCCTTTTAGCAAAGTAATAAGGAGAAGACAAACGTTCAGTTTTAAATATCTTGCCAGATACCGCTTGAATTAATCAGAGTTGAGAACCTAAGCATAGTTTGAACTTCCAAGGAAATTAGAGAAATCAAGGTTTAAGATTAGTTGTCTGTCATTTTCAAGTCAGCGCCTGCTCCTGATATACAAGCCTCTGGCAGTGAAGAATGACTATTAACTAAGGCCCATGTATTCACACCAGACCTTAGATAAACTTTTAGTTTCAGCATTAGCTAAATTCATAGAGTAGACATAAGACAGTTTTATTAATTTTTCTAAAGCTAGTGGTTTTTTTATGCTCAAGAAACCTGAATAAGAAGTTCTATTGTCACCTTTTTATACTGATGAAAAGGATTTCTGTTTTAGGCAGAGGCACTTTGCTCTGGGGGGCATGTGCACTACTAGCCAATTGTTTCTAAAATGCTATGCGACTTTTCATTGTAAAAAATAAATGGCCAAGCAAAAGGTTGTTTAGAACTTGAATGACTAAAACATTAACTTCTATGAAGAAGAAAAGGAAATTTGAAGCTTTATTTCAAAGCTGTATTTTATATGTGATAAGGCTGCAAATTCATATGAAAATTAACAAAATGTATTTCAACTTTTTCATAGGTCTGGAAACAAAAAGGAGAAGAATATAGAGTAACAGGATATGGTGGATGGATATGGATTAGTAAAACACATGTTCATAGATTTGTACCCAGATTACCTGGAAATACTAATGTCAGTTACAGAAAGTTACTACTTGGTAAGTGCTGGAAATCATCATTATCATTTTTATTATTTCATTACCATATTTTTTGGAGTATAAGATGCACCAAGGTTTTGAAGAGGCCATTTTTTTTTTTAAAAAAAAAAGGGTTTTGCACTCTGTAAACCTCCCAAAATCGGCCCCTTTTTTTTCCAAAAAAAAGGCATGAATAGCCTTTAGGGGGCTTGCAGGGTGCTCCTGGGTGGTGGCCCCCCCAAAAATGAGCAAAAAGGGGGCCATTTTTTGTCAAAAAATTGTATGCATAGCCTTTAGGAGGCTTATAGAGTACTCCTGGGTGGGGGACAAAAGTGAGCAAGAAAAGGCCCGTTTTTCACTCATTTCTGCCTTCTACAGGCTCTGCACGGCCATTTTGGTGAAGGGGCAGGGTTTCAGGAGGCAAAAAATGCTATATTAAGTGTATAAGACACATCCAGGTTTTCAGCCTCTTTTGAGGGAAAAGGGTGCGTCTTATACTCCAAAATACTGTGATTTTATTATAACTGACCAATCCAACAGACTCTGGGTATCTTACAAAACATAACCATGATTTTGAAATATGAAGTGAGGTTTAAAACATCAAATACCAGTTTTCACTATGTATTTTCAAGCAACATTGTAATATTTTAATTTCTCTCTAGTTACAGCAAGCATTTCAGGAGAAAAATAAACATATGTAAAATACTCTGTTTCTATCAATTACGGTTTTGCTGTAAAAAGTTGCTAATTATTCACATGTGTCTTAATTTTCTAAATAATGGAAGAACCAAACTACTGTAATGTGGTTTTATATCGAATTTCTACAGCTAGTCCATTTTACTATACTAAATTTTGTAATTAAAGAGAAAATATGTGGTGTTTGCAATATACTCTAAACCTCAGTGTAATAAATTCAAAGCTATATAGAGCAGACAAATAGAATGTCTCCATAGATGAAAATCATTTCCCCCTTTTCGATGTGATCAGAAAATCTGTTCTGGAAGATTAGGGGGCCTTTTGGTATGGTAGGAAACAAAGCACTGAAGGAAAAGGGACAAAGTCACCTGTTTTTCCTAGTGCAGGGGTGTCAAACTCACAGCCCATGGGCCAGATGCGTCACACATTGGCCATCCCCACCCCCATTTTAGCGAAGGGGGAGAAGTCATGAGACGTCATGTGACAACACACGTTTGACACTCCCGACCTAGTTAGTGAGAGCTTCTACAAAATCAAAATCTTTTTGCAAACAAAATTGTTAAGCTTGTTATAATAATGTCATTTTCTAATAATTATTACTGATAGAGAAATGACTATCTGTTTTTATTATATGGTAATAGATAATAGCTTTTAATACTTTTGGTGGTCATGTTTAGTCAATTTCCTCTGTTAAGATCTTATTGGATCTTATGATGATCCTGTATGATTTCATAGTCAGTAACATTTCTATTGAACAAAATTGCATTTCAGGGGAGGAAATAGTGCACTATTGTAATTGCAATAGTCTTATTTCTGAATGTAGTACTAGGCTTTTGAAAATGTATGCCTGTCTGAAAAGCTTACACTGACAAAGTGACCAAAATCATATGAGTATTTACATATTTCTTTATCAGCAAAGAACAATGCTGCTATCACAGAACAACAGCACGAATTGGATAAAAGGAAAAATCCAGCAAAAGTAAAAGTAGAGCACTGTTCTTTGAAAGATAGAATAAAGAGGTTCCATGAACCACATAAAAAGGACCAAAAAGAAACTGAACATTCTGAGACCATGAAGAAAAGTCAGATCAAGGAAGAAAATGAACTAAATGAAGAAAAAGCTGAAATTGATGGACATTTTGAAAAATCAGATCAAGTGAAGGAAGGTAATAAGCATTTTTATCCGTTTTAATAAACATCTAACTTTTTATGGTTTAACGAAATGTTTATATGTGCAACATTTACTTGAAGACAGTCTAGAGGAAATAATTTCTCATGGTAGAGTGTTCTATTAATTCCATATGCCTGTATATATTGTTTCAAAATAATATGTAATTAGTCACAATTTAGATTACTCTTCCTCAATCTGAATTCATTCCAAATGGGGATTTCGGACTTCCAGGATTCTCTACATAATTCAACTATGTGGTGCAGTGGTTAGAATGCAGTACTGCAGGCCACTTCTGCCGACTGCTGGGTACCTGCAGTTCGGCAGTTTGATTCTCACCAGGCTCAAGGTTGAGTCAGCCTTCCATCCTTCCGGGGTTGTTAAAATGAGGACCCATATTACTGTTGGGGGCAATATGCTGACTCTGTAAACTGCTTAGAGAAGCTTTTAAAAGCACTGTGAAGCAGTATATAAGTCTTAAGTGCTAAGAGCTATTGTTATTGATGCTGTACATCAGGGATGGGGAACAATGGCCCCTTTACGAACTTTGGACTTCGATTCCCAGGATTCCTGAGTCACTCATAGGTTGTAAAGGGGCTGTCTTTCCCCACCCCTGTGTTACATAATAATGGGAATATGTTGTATAATTGGAATGGTTGGGGACTTGGGTTTGTCAGTATATGTGTTAACTAATAAAGTGTCCTACTGATTAAACATTATTTTTTATAGATGAAAAAGTAATCTGTGAAAATGATAAAGACATCAAGGAGGAACCTATGGAAGTAGATGAAGTGAAAATGGATACTTCCCCCAAATGTGAAGAAACTCCAATCAGTGCAGATTTAATAAATGTTAGCGAAGGTTTTCACTTAAGGACATATTACAAAAGGAAAGTGAAAACATCAAAATTAGATGGACTACTTGAAAGAAGAGTAAAACAGTTTACACTAGAGGAAAAGCAGCGATTGGAAAGAATGAAGCTTAAAGCTGCTTCCAATTCCTCAGATTGTAAATCTCTGAGTCCACAAAGGAATACAGATGACCTACCATTAGCTAAGGCAGAAACAGATGAAAAGAGAGCCCATATTTCAGGTACAAAACAATCTGAAGATCCTGTTAAAGACTGTTTGTCGTCTAACAACCTCCACTTCAATAAAACCAGTGAATCAGTTCAATCCGTGTCTTGCTTGAATAGACTTTTAGATGAAGAATCAGACGTCATTTCAGGTCAGTGCTCAGATTCTCAATGTTTGTTAGCAGCAAATGCTCATGGAAGTGCTTCTGAACCAGTGGATACGGAAAAAAATAAAGTGCTGAGTAAGGAGGAGGGTAATTCAACCATGGAACATTCTCAAGCAATAGACAATAAAGAATCAACTAAATGCAGTGTGCTAGGGGACAATGAAAAAAGTTCAGAGGAAATCACAGGGCCTAATTGTGAACATCATACACAGTCAGAGGGAATTGAACAGAATTGTGAAAAAGAGACTGCATCTTGCATTAAGAAAGGAAATGAAACCTTAAAAACTGAAAAACAGGACTGTGATTTTGTAGAAGCTTGTAATTTAGAGGATCATCATGCAGCAAATAACACAAATGTGAGTCTACCGAAAAGCAAGGAAGATGCATCTGAACCAAAGATTTCATTAAATCCCAAGCAAGTCCTGGAAGGCCTAAAATCATTACGTACTGAGCTTATTTCAGAGAAGGCCTTTGAAGCCCAGATTCCTGACACGATAGGAGAAAACATCTTGGATGAAATTACACACTCTAAAATTCCCGAAACAAATGGTGAAAAGCTAGAGCAGGCAAAGTGTGATCCTCCAACTTCCATAAGCAAGTGCATTGATCAGATTAAAAGCATTGCTGATAAAAACAATAATAAAAATGGAGAACACGATGTCCAGATGGACGGAGGAAAGTCGGCAACATATCAGATGAATGGAAAAGATGCTGATTTCAAAGTACTGCCCAATGAAGAATGCTTAAAAAGAGAAGCTGAGAGTAACCTTGACTCTAAAGTCAATAATATTAATAAAAACAATCTGCTAGGTAAATCATTTCCTTCCAATGAATCTGTAAAACCATTTATGAATGGAGATATCTCTGTGGAAGATGTGGATGAGAGAAGACATTCAGAGAATGAGTTTTCCGTTCGGAGTTCTGTGGATCCTGACTGTGATCCTAGAGGCGGTGTTTTACCTCAGGAGGATACATCTCCGTCTGCTCAAGACAGTGAAAGGAAGCAACGTTCTTCTGAAAGATCTAGTCCTATTGATGAGGCATCCCTCACAGCTGTCCATTCCTGTAATGAGAACAGCATAAGTAGTGAAACAGAAGGCATGGAGATTGAGTCATCATGTATTAAGAAGGCTGCCCTCTCGCCTGTAATTTCATGCGAAGAATCTAGTTTGAGTAACGACTTTGCTGATCAGAATGGACTGCAGACACACAGAGTTAAAAACATCAATGGAGAGAGTGCAGTGAAAGCGGTTGTGACAGAAGTGACCACCACGTCTACCATTTCTACAGAATCAAAAACCGTTTATAAAGTGTCAGAGCTGTCAGCGGCCAAGGAGGATAAAGAACGTGTGGTGTCAGCAGCTGAAAATTGTTCCATATCCACTGTAACCACCACCACAACTACCACTGTAACAAAGCTTACCGCTCCCACAACCGATGTTATTTCTGTAAAAGAGCATAGTAAAACCGTGGTTACGACGACAGTGACTGATTCCTTGACAACCCCAAGTGGAACATTGGTGACTTCTATGACAGTCAGCAAGGAATATTCCACAAGGGACAAAGTGAAACTAATGAAGTTTTCAAGACCTAAAAAAACTCGTTCTGGAACCGCATTGCCATCTTATAGAAAGTTTGTTACTAAAAGCAGCAAAAAGAGCATATTTGTTTTACCTAGTGATGACTTGAAGAAGCTGGCAAGAAAAGGAGGGATTAGAGAAGTTCCTTGTTTCAACTATACCGCTAAGCCTGCTTTGGACATCTGGCCTTATCCATCCCCAAGACCAACGTTTGGTATCACTTGGAGGTACACTGTTATAACAATGTTAAAAAATTATAAGGACACTGAGTGGGAGATTTTGTTGTGCATGTATTGTGAATATATTATAATCCAGTACTTTAATTGTCATCACTTACAAATCTTAATTGCTTATGATTTTGTTCCTAAGATACTGGACCTGTTCTTAACAGGAGGATAATATTTCTTGTATGTGTATTTAGAAAGAAAGATTTATTAGCTGCTTCTTGATCAGGATATAGGACAGTATTGGAGTAGGGAATCTTGTACTTAATGCAAATATCTGATATATGGAGTGATGACAAAATAGGAGAATTTTCAGAGGGTATGGACTGTAAAGTTTAAATATGCTGAAAAGTACCCACTGAGACCAAAAAGTAGAAATATCCTGGAATCCCATTCCTTTTAACTTGAACCCGTTGAAATCAATGCAGCCTAAAAACACTGAACACTGCAAAAATGTATTATTTTAAGATTATCCAAAAGAATGGGTAAAAAACTCGGATCTTCAGTTCTGAGCTATGGTACAGAATTATTCCTATTCCTTTAATGATTAGTATAGTATAGGGGTATAGTGGAGTGAGACCAAGGAGGGCTACAGAATTGTTATAGCTAGACACATGCTTTGTGTAGTAAGTTTGCTTTATGTTATTAAACAGGGTTTTGCTTGATAAACCACATTTTAACAGCAACCAAGAGAGCTTTCAAAATAATCACAGTTTGTGTTCTAATACATGCCACTAGTATATTTAGAGCATATCAATACTAGAAATTTGAAATCATCTAAAAAAAATTTCAAATTGCCATTGCAAAATAATGCTTTTTTGATAACTTACTTTCTTTGGTCAGCTTTTCAAAGCCATGACAAAAACATCTAATACCATATTAATTTGGTTTCAATAACTATTTAAGATTGTAAAGCTATAATTAGTTGATCCTCTATTCTAGAAATATTCTGTAACTTGGCATTTAAATGAGAATTCAACATGTGATAGCATAGATCTATATACAGGTACTCCTCAACTTACAACAACAATTGAGCCCAACATTTATATTGCTAAGTGAGACAAGTGAGTTTCACCCCATTTTATAACCTTTCTTGCCACCCTTGTTAAGGTAATCACTGCAGTTGTTAAGTGAGTAACATGGCTGTAAAGTGTATCTGGCTTCCCCATTGACTTTGCTTGTCAAAGGGCACAAAAGGTGATCACATGACCCTGGGACGCTGCAGCTATTATAAATATGAGCCAGTTGCTGAGCATCCAAATTTTGATCATGTGACCATAGGGATGCTGCAACAGTCGTAAGTGAAAAATGGTCATATGTCACTTTTTTCAATGCCATAATAACATCTAATGGTCTCTAAATGAATGGTTGTAAGTCAAAGACTGTCTGTAATCAATGCTAATACTATATATGTTTCTATATATGAAAGTACACTCCATTTTTAACTATGATTGAAAGAAAACATTAATTTTATCTCAGAAGATCTATAGCATTTAAGCTGTTTCTTTTAATAATATTTTATTCTGTATAGTTTTTAATGTTTTAATAATTAATTTTTTACTTGTTTTAACATAAGCTGCCCAAGAGTCATTTATAAGGAGATGGGTGGCCAGCCAATGAATTTGGCTGAAGGTGGCCAGCCAATGAATTTCTTTTTGGATTTTTTCCAGGTACCGACTTCAGACTGTAAAATCTTTGGCAGGAGTAAGCCTCATGTTGAGGTTACTCTGGGCATGCCTAAAGTGGGATGACATGGCTGCCAAACCTCCACCAGGAGGAGGAACTACGCGGACAGGTAGAGTTGACTTTCAGAAATCTGGATAATTAAACAGTGTTTAAAAATGTATAATATATTATGGGAACTAGAACTCTGAAATCAATTATTATTATGAAATTCTGTTTTGGGTTTATTCCCACCCAATATGTCACACTTGGATGAATATGAATGAAACTGAAACCAATTTCAGTCCATGATTTTACAGGAAACTCTGGTCACACTACCAAACACAGACCAAAAAAAATTATATAGCAAGAAAGTTGGATATTGTTGTTAAGTAAGAAGATATTTATTAAAAAGAAGATACCCCAAAATGCCAACCACTGGCGCAGTCTAGTATTGCAGTTCATTTAACCATGGGTTTTCTGTGATATCTAAATTGGGGGAACTGGTTAAAATATTTCCTATAAACTAAAACTGCAAATTGGTTTGCATTGCTGGTTTGTAGAGAGCTGCATCTTGTCTGTTGGACTATTATAATACTAGTTTAACAGATTTAAGAGCTGTCTTTGTTGCTGGGCAAACAAAAGGGAGGGATAGCCAAGTTCTTGATACTGATTTCCATAGAACATTGCTTATTAGGACTTTATATCTGAATATAAATATAATCTGTAATTTGGCTTTTAGCTGGTCAGGTTCATTTTTATTAAGTCTTTCACTCCTTCAGTATTCCATCAATATTGCGAGTTCAGCATAACATCATTCCCTGGAGATTAGACATGCTATGTCCCTACTGGTTTTCTGTAAGGGCCTAAAGACATGGTTTTGTGGTGAAGCCTGGGGACCAGGGTATGTGATTGACCCATATCTTGGACCTGAAGCATAACTTTTGTTATAGTCAGAAATATCATAAGCATCTTTGTCAATTTCCAGAGTTTCAGTATACACAAGAAAGGTGTCAGTTTAAAAATCGATCCTCAGAATAACTTTTTAAAAAGAAAACAGTGTAAAAACCAGTGCAAAACCAGTTAAAACTCTTTTAGTTTTTGTTTTAATACAGTTTTAATAATATTCTATTATTATTAATCGGGANGGCTCAAGGTTGACTCAGCCTTCCATCCTTCCGAGGTGGGTAAAATGAGGACCCAGACTGTGGGGCAATATGCTGACTCTGTAAACCGCTTAGAGAGGGCTGAAAGCCCTATGAAGCGGTATATAAGTTGAACTGCTATTGCTATTGTGGGAAAGTAACAGCACTCCGTGCACTTTCGGTGTTTAGTCATGCCAGCTACATGACCATGGAGACGTCTTCAGACAGCGCTGGCTCTTCGGCTTTGAAACAGAGATGAGCACTGCCCCCTAGAGTCAAGGGACGACTAGCATACATATGTGTGAGGGGAACCTTTACCTTTACCTTAGGGATGCTGAGGGTGTATATGTTCAGCCTAGTTTCTTCCATTAAATTGGGATATAAACCATGGAAACAAATCCTTTGGATACTGAGGATTTCCCCCCCTCCCTTTTTTTTTTTGCAACAAGGAAATAAATTCTTTGTGCTGGGCAACAAACCACAAGGAAAGTTGTGTATGTTGATTCTGTGTTGTAAGCCCCACTGGCCTCAGTGGCTCCTGTTACAGTGCATCAGGCATCACATTCTCTCCTTCTTCCAACCTGTGTTAAGGGTGAAAGTCTGTAATGGAGATAGGGATAGAGAAAGCATATAGAGGCCCCGCCTTGCAGACTCATCTTCTGCATATGGCAGAGAACAAAAGGAGAGTAGGGATGATGTGCTTGTCTCATTCCCTTGAAGCAAGGCGACACTTTCACCTTTTCTCATGCTTTATCTTCCTTTATTACTTCCTTTATAAGTAACTCAAACGGGCAAACATAGCTAATACTCCTTCCTCCTCCTAAATCCCCCAAACTAACTACCCTATACGATGGGTTGGGCTGAGAGTGAGTGTCTGGCCTAAAGTTGCCCAGCCAGCTTTCATGGCTAAGCTGGGACTAGAACTCACAGTCTCCTGGTTTCTAGGCCAGTACCTTAACCACTACATACACAAAAGTGGCTGTCACCAGTTCAATTATTTTCTTCTCCTGCATAGTTGCCTGCTTTCAAATATATCATCTTTTAACAACCCCATAATCCCTTTGTGAAATAGAGCCTGGGCAACAGAATGGAGCTGAGTGTTTAGTGGCCAGCTGCCCTTCCTGTCGTCTATGTGGAATTTTTTTTCAGCAGATAATATTCTCAGTGTGCCCGGAGACAGAAATATCTGCCTCTACCTAGGATCGAACTTACAGCCTCCTGATTGTGTGGAGGGAGCTCCACCTCTAAGCCACCATACCACTCCCTGCTTTCAATTATATCTTCCTCTGTTATTGAATTCTGAAAAAAATACAGGATGATTCTCCATTTGTGGAGAAAATTATTTGAGGGAAAGCTATCTTTTGAGTTCATAAGTTTCAATCATCTGTTAATTTATATATCGGTTTTGACTTGTCACGAAGTCTTAGAGCAAGGAGCTTGTTCCAGCGACTTCCACATCCCAAAGAATTGGTATTTAAATGTTGTAATAAATATTGAATATAAATATTGAAAATATTTTTATGCATTACCACATCCATAGTTTTATAAAACTTAGTCTTGCCCTCCAACTCTAATTAAAAATGATTCTTTGGCCTTTCTGTAATGAAGGCTGTGTATTTAAAAGTCCAGGTGAATGCAGCTGCATTATATAATAATGATGTCATCTGGGCAGAAGAGTGAAACAGAATCATTGTTGCTATTGGTTGATTTATTGATGTGTGTTAACTGTCAAAATAAATCTACACATATACATTGGGATTTTTTTGTTTTGTTTTTGGCCCCAATTTCTGGTTTATTAGCCACCAGCACGGCTGCTACATCAGCAACCACCATATCTAGCAGTGGTCAGACTTTCCAGATTGCCAGCAGTCCAGTAACCATGGCGGGCAAAGTGATTACAAAGCTGCCTCTTCCTGCAAATAGCAAAATAGTTGCTGTTAATGTGCCAGCTACTCAAGGAGGTAGGAAAATGTCATGAAAAACTAAATTCTTTTTTTTTTAAGTGGGGGTTTCCTAGTAAATTATCTATGACCTTTCTTTAGAGAAGGTTACTTGGGATTTGTTCATAGTCTCTGTTTTAATTTCTCTAACTGCCATTTGTTCACATTGGCATCTATAAATTCCCATGNATGGCCACATGAACATGGAGATGTCTTTGGACAGTGCTGGCTCTGCGGCTTTGAAACAGAGATGAGCACCGCCCCCTAAAGTCGGGAACAATTAGCACATATGTGTGAGGGGAACTGTCACCTTTACCTAATAATATTTTATTCTGTATAGTTTTTAATTTTTAATAATTTATTTTTTACTTGTTTTAACATAAGCTGCCCAAGAGTCATTTGTAGAGGAGATGGGTGACATAAAGATTTAATTAATGAATTAATTAATTAATTGTAAGCCTCCACATGTATAGACTGCTTGTAAGAGAATACTGCTTAATGTGGATTCATTTTTAATACATTAGACATTTAATTGATAAACCTGCACTGCTTAACATTTGCAAGAAGATACTGAGGGAGAATACCATGGAGTTTGGGATTGATCATTGTCAGTGAACTTTTTCAGACCAGAATTTGTTTGGGCATGACTATTAAAAGCCATTTCCCTTTTTTCTCTAGTTCTGTGCAGATGTTTTCTTGCCTCCAAATGCAGCAGGCTACTATAGATTCCTTCTGACACAGATCTCAACTATTTGCTTTACAAAAGTTTTTTGAAGTTGGTCCAAGGGCCGTAGAAGCAGAGTTCTAAATTAGTCAATGAATTACTCATTTTTCTGGCCTTGTAGAAAAGACATTTCTGTTTCTCATTCATTTTAATCTTTTGCAGTTAGAAATTGCAGTAGACTTTTCTTTTTTTCCTGTTCTGTTACTCTTTAATTATTATTATTAACTCTTGTTTAAAATTATGGCTATTCTGCGTATTATCTTAAAGATCTTATGTTCAAAACATGCAGCTATTTTCACCAAATAAATATAAGACTTACAACCACAATTGAGCCAAAATTTCTCCTGCTAAGGCAGTTTTTAAATGATTTATGTCTCATTTAATGACCCTTTTGCCACAGTTAAGTGAATCACTGTAATTATTAAGTGAATCATTTGGTCGTTAAGCAAATCTGGTTTCCCTTATTGACTGTTTGTTGGAAGCCTGCTTGGAAGGTTGCAAATGGTAATCACATGATCCCGGGACAGTACAACTCTCATAAATACATTGCCAAGGGCCCAAATTTTGATCATGTAATCATGGGGATGCTGTAATAGTCATAAGTGTGAAAAATGGCCATAAATCATTTTTTTCAGTGCTGTTGCAACTTTGAATGGTCACTAAATGAATGGTTGCAAGTTGAGGACTACACATAAAATCCAGTAATATTAGTCACATTTCTGTACTTCATTTCACTTTCATTACGAGGTTCACCTAATTAGTAACTTAAGTTTGAAGTTACAAAATTTTAAAGAGCATCCTGACATACGGCACAATTGATTAAAACTTTTCTTAATCAATAATGGAGGTTAAATGTGAAGTACCAATAGAGGGGTTTTTTTTGGGGGGGGGGGAGATTCTGCACATATACTAAAACAAACTATGCAGTTTTTAAACCAAAACTCCAGAATTTCAGCTAACATTTGTGGTAATGTCTTTTTACATTGGTGAATGAATCTGCAAATACATTTCTAGAAACATCAGAAATGGAAATTACAACAACTGAAATAATCAAACGGAGAGATGTTGGACCATACGGGATTCGATCAGAGTACTGCATACGGAAAATTATTTGTCCTATTGGTGTTCCAGAGGCCCCCAAAGGTAAACATGCAAATAAAATACTCAAATAACCTAGATGGACGAACATGGCCTGTGTTCATACTGATATTTAACTGAGACTTGATCGACATTACTTTTTTGTCAGAAACGCCAACCCCTCAGAGGAAGGGGCTTAGATCGAGTGCTTTGAGGCCCAAAAGGCCAGAAACACCAAAGCAAACAGGACCAGTCATCATTGAAACCTGGGTGGCAGAGGAGGAGTTGGAATTATGGGAGATAAAAGCATTTTCTGAAAGGTAAGGTGACAGCCAAAACCTTTTGTAGCTGTACTGAGGTAAATATTTGAAGGCATTTGAGTTATGCCAGTTGGTTTAACAAACAAATTGAAACTTCAGAAAAATAAACATAACTGGAAGTGCAGTTCAGGAAATACAAATGGGGGAGAGACCCTTCTTGATAACCTTTGTTTCTTCATTTCAATGAATGTAATGCTTAAAAACAATAGCTGTTAAGACTGTTAAGCTGATTCCAGTTAATTAAACTGTGCATTCACTTTGGTTTCCTATTTCTTCATTTCTATTCATTCTTTTTGCATAATTTCTTTTATATGCCCTTTCCCCCACCCCAGCTTTATGGTAATTCTACTCGGCTCCAATATCTTGTTTAGTTTTTCCAGGTTTCCTTTTTTTAAAACTTGTTGGAACTCAAGAAAATCAAATTTTGAAAAGTTGAAACTTGTCAAATTCCTGCCCTTTCCATTTATCTCATCATGAGATGAAAGTTATTAATTGATTAAGTTATTAATGGAATGGGCAGCATATAAATTTAATTTAATAAATAAGTAATGATAGCATTTTGTAGCTTTATAACCTATGACTTTCTTTGCCTTCATTTCCTTGTGCTTCTTTTAGGAGTTGCTGGGCTTATTTTAACACAAGGCAATAAAATCCTTCCATGTTTGTTGTACAATGAGTTCTATAAGTCCTACCATAATAACAGTATTATCTGGTGCTAATCAGAATTGATGCATTGGGTTGCCTTCCCCTGTCTCAGTTTGGGCACCTTTCTTCTGAGCTTTTTAAGATCTTCTTTTAAATATTTAAGCTTTAAGCCCCCACTTCACTTACTAAAGATATATCATCCATTGTTTCATCTAGGTAAACTGTGTCATCTGGACATTAAAATAGTTCAGCCAGTGCAGCAGGCAAATCAGATATTGCAGGCAGTGTCTTGAATTAGATTCAGAGGTGGTCAACAGTTGGTTCTAAAGGATATGAATGGAATTCTCCAATTCTGTCATGGGAATGGCATAGGAAGAGCAACCCGGGGCTACATAGGGAAAATGTAATGAGACATTCCTTTTTTTCATTAAATCCAAGTTTCTTCTAGACTTGCAGAGGACAAGGTTTATGACAAGGTTCATAAAATATTTCAAAAGGAAGAATTAATTTATAAGGTTAGATCATGTTGACATTTGAAAATTTCAGGAACTTAAGATGTCCTGTACTAATAGCTTGGAAACAAGTTCTCTTGATATAAAAATTGTAATTCCTTGATAATGCTTGGTATTTTCTATACTTCTCTTTTGCAGGGTGGAGAAGGAAAAGGCCCAGGCAGTTGAACAACAGGCTAAGGTTAGTGAACAGAAGAAGGCAGAGGAGTTCAAGGCTCAAATGGAGGCTCAACTCAAACAGCAACGATTGGCTGCCCAACAGGTGGGGTAGCCTTTTAGAAGTCCCACCTGTAAAAAGCTTGCATTTATGTACAATTAGCAAATTAGCATGGAAGTGTGTCTTCCTTGAACATTTTCTTATGAGTAAAATTATATGAAGCTCCATAATGGGAATCTAAGTTGGTACTTCAGATTTTGACATTTGTTGTACTTGTTTACATTACACTTCATGTGGAAGCTTTTCCGCCGGGTTGTATGCCTCTCCAAATTTCTGTTGAAAAGCTATTAAGGTAGATGTTGACAGAATATGTAATTTGGCAGGGTCTGGTGAATGTAACTTTTGGCCTTCTACCAAGTTTGCAATCAAAAACACTTCCATGTTGGAATGGAAATGGGGTTCTTAGATATATTTATATAACCTTTGATACAGAATTAATCTGCTGTAAATGAGATCTGCACCCAAGGCTGACATCTGGTAATTAACTCTGTCATTTTCCTAAATTTCTTTTTAATAGTTGCTTTCCCTCTTATATGTCATTGGTTCTTTATGTTATGTCCATTTTGCTTTCCCAAGTGAAATGCTCACCAAAGAGATTCAGAGAATCCATTTCATTTAGGAAGTCACTGCAGCTGTACGCATATTCTCAGAAATGCTC